CTTGCAGGTGCATGTTGCAGGAAAGGTTGCTTTATGTCATTGAGCCAAGGCTGGAACTCTTTGCTACTTGTACCTACCTACTTGCAGAAGAGCCAATTTCCCTATCACTTTTGCTATCAAGGGACTTTTCCAGGGGATGTTGCTAGATTGGCTGAAACTGGGGATATGATGAGCATCATACAAGAATTACTTCTCTATCATTGAATTCAACTACGTACAGCACGGGTACCTCATCTGGACGAGACAGTACTGTTACATCTTGGGTAATTACAAAAATCATAATGTTGCAAGGCTGTTTTCCATGATTCACTATTGAGTCTTGAGTCAATAATGCCACAAAATATCAGTCAAGGATATCTTTGGAACACATTGTTAAAAAACCTTTCCATTATTGGACTTCATCCATCAGGACATGAAGTACAGTGAGCATACATGTACATGTAGACATGGTTTGGCTATCAATAAGACCTCTCTTGTAATACTTTTTCAAATTTATGTAATCAATGTTCTCCTAAAAAACAAAAAAGTATTTTGGGGAAGAAAAAAAGTTGTTACACACTAGTAACGGTATTATACAATGGTTTTCAATCAATTACGTAACCTCGTGTATTGTTTATTTAATTATTCAAGAACTAATATTTTCCGCTGAATTTCAATGAGCAGATTCCACATAATTGCATGTACATGTAACTTGTCAATGTTTGATGAGTAATTGTAGTAACAAAGCAGAACTAACCTCAGACAGTTCATCTCAATTTCAAACGAATGACAAATTAGAGGGAATTCCATTCTGCCACTTTGAGTGGAGAAATGGAATTCTGTCATATCCACCAATGACCAAAATAGTTCGGGAAATTGCGGAATGCGTAAACAGCATTCCTTTTGGCTGAGCCTGCAGTCTGCATAATTTGTGGAGTGCGGTAGCATTCACTTCAGGTTCCTTGTTTTGCTTTTTTGTTTCATTTTTGGTCACTTTACTACATCTCTACGACAAAAAAGAAGCCTCGTGAACATGTCGAGGTTTACAAGTTACGACTAAGTACGGTAGTACGATGTATTCGGCATCTTGAGATAAAAGTGAAAAATATCAGGGTGACACATACCAGGTACATGGAAACAGACACACATCTGTAACTTACATGAACACTTCAGCAGTAAATGTTAAAGTTTGTGGATTCCAACCTCAGAAACATCTGTTACATTTTACAAACAGTATCCAATGACGTAAGTCTGTATGTGGCAATACATGTACGTGTACCGTGAATGCGTAATTTCCATGTGTATGCATATTTGAATCATTTGTCAATCAACCTGCAAACAGGGATGAAGTTGCTTCCTCCACGCTGCAAGGAAGATCATCTTTCACATGCAACTCACTCATCCCTACTGACCGTATGCAAACAATGCTCTTTTGTCAACACTTGATACACACACTACGTGATAAGACTGTGCAATACTGCTGGGGTGTTTACTGCATATGAACTCACCGCATACATGTACATATCTACACGTATACATGTACACTGTACAGTATATTAACAAAAATTCCAGTACGTCCTCAAAACATTCACAAAACATTTGCATGTACCCATTCAATTCATTGAATTTTTTTTCATTATTATATTAAGAGATGCATGTGGGATTGCTTACATTCCAGTGCCTGACACATGCATTAATCAATATTCCTTTTATCCCCCGACTTTTTGGTGAAAACAAAATCTAAAAGTCTGGACAGAAAAAGGATCCAGCTACTGGTAGCATATCGGACACAATGCTCCTTCCATAATTACATGTATTTGCAGTAAAAAGCACATCGGAAAAAGTACACCTTCTGTAATTATTTGCAGTAAAAAGCACATCGGAAAAAGTACACCTTCTGTAATTATTTGCAGTAAAAAGCACATCGGAAGCAATACTCCTTCTGTAATTATTTGCAGTAAAAAGAATTCCCCCAAGCCCCCTCTCCTGTTTGAACCAACCATAAAAACTCAAGTGAAAAGGCCCAGCCCAACACAAGTCAGCGTTGCATTAAAGCTAGAGGTTGGAAAGCCTGCTCGGCCAGCACTCCTAGGGTCATCACCATGACAATACATACGTCAAGACAACCCTGAAAACGAAAAAAAAAAAAATCCAGACTGGGGTGGCAATTAAAAAGGTTGGCAGGTCGGTACAGCTGCCACTGATGCGGAGAAGCTGGGCTAAGCTTCCGTGTTGGTTGGGAGCAGACTGTAAGTCTGTCTGAGGTGTTTGCATGTCTGGTACCAAGCCCAGTTTGATTCCAAAGGAGCCGCTTCAATCCATACAGTTCATGCTTGGTCACATGGCCCACTTCATAAACAATCTATCATCCATCCCACTTTCCTCTCAATAACAAATGCAAATACCTTCAAATGCAAATAAAATTGAAGGAGACAGTTGTAGGCGACTAAAATTGCAAGCACAGAGCCATCTCATCCAACGTGAACACCTCAGAGGAAACTAAAACCAAGTTTTTCTATGCTGCCTTTTTCCATCCACTAAGGATTTTCCTTCCTCTTGAAATACATCTACATGTAAAGCAGTACCTTTGACTGATCTTCAAAAATTGCACCTGAAAGAAATCATTACACCTTTTCTCTTCACCTACACACACATACATGTATACTGCAAGTAACAAGCAGTTTAAATCAGATACAACATTTTGGACACTTCAAAGAAACCTCAGAAAATCCACCACTACTGACGACTTAATTGTCTTGACCCAAGAAATGTGCACATACACTGTATTTGAGTAATTACATGTACATGTAATTATAAAGCTATTTTAAAGGAATAATCATTTTGGATCAGCAATGTACTCAGTATGCAAATGTTAATTTTTGACAATTGCATGTACATGTAAATACAGCATAAAAAAGAAATTGGTGGCCGTGAATATTACAAAACTTGTAACTACAGGCAAGTCAGGCATCCTGTACCAGTACATGTACATATACATGTATCTGCAATTTACATGCACTGCACGTGTGTGTGTAATAACAGCTGCAGACGAATTCCTCATCCAATCCAAACACTTAGCTGTAAACTTAGCCTGTGGCTTAAACAAAAGGCAATCGGTCGTGCACACTGCAGTGAGCGTGTACATGCACACATGTATGGGCATATTGGCAAACACGCATGTGTGCACATGCCAATGACACTTTAATGCTCCTGTAAACTACAAGGAGGTGAATGCAATCCTTGAGCTGACAAAAACATTTTAATGTCTAACGTGAAAAAGATATACCGGTACACTGTACATGTATGTGTATGGTACAATAAAACAAGTGCACTTCATGATGGCTAATGAATAAATATTCAAATCTTGCTGAAGTTTTGGGGCTAAAGATGTAAATGAGATACAGTGGAAAATAAACAGCTTGCTGCATAATGTAGAACAAAAATACAGGACCCAGAACAGGTAGCAGGGATTAGATTGGCCAATGATAAAAGTAGCAGAAAACAGCTGAAAAAAGACATAAAGAAGCCGAGCTGTGAAAATCTCCTCCACTTTTGTACACAGCCAGCGAGGGGAAAAAGCTGAAATCAAAAGCAAAAAAGCTGAAATTTGCTAAAAATCGGAGAAATCTCACCCCTGACGTAGTACATGCACAGCATGTCATTAAAACTTTAGACTGTCTGTTGAAAGGGCTTGATTATGGACCTTGTCCACATAGCACTATCCCCAACAAATCCTATTTTCACGAGTTCCAGCAGAACACCACACCTTCAGCAGCCAGACAGTGACAGAAAATCGACATGATGTAGACAAGGCTTCAACACACTTGACCTGAAATGGTCTTATGGTACGACACTTGATCTTTTTCGCTAGACCTACACATCTTCAGTTCAGTAAGATTTGAAGCTTTGCATGGTGGAAGTTACATGAGATGAGGTAACACTCGCTAGTTCTTGTAGAAAGAGACTGATTCCATGGTGTGCCCACAAGCCCACTCTACATCTCATGTTCGGTCTTAACCCCTTCTACACTTCTACTTGATGCAGACAACATGAATGCTTGGTCCTTTCAGTACACTTGTGGAGGTCTAAGTCCTAAAACTCAACATTTTAAAATGGAGAGTGAAATGTAAGTCTTCAGAGGCTATGCATTCACCAACAAAATTGATGCCACGGCTCATCTGTGGCATATACTGTTTGTGTTGAGGGCACTGTGTAATATCCACACTGTCATCCAGGCCTGACCATAACACAATCACTCCTGCCACAGGAAGATTGCATTAAGGAACAAAATTGATTGTCAGTTCATTAATTACCAACCCCCCCGCCAGATTTAGCCTGACCTTTCCTGGATATACTTGCCCAGACTGATGCACCAGCCTCTCCCAGATGCCCTTTGATTGGCCAATTACTACCGGAGAGGGCAGGCTTTCCTTTTTCCCCTCAACAAAACGCAACCACTCAAAAAGCAAAATTAGTGAGATCTTAAAGGACATGCCCCCTTTCCTTTTTGGAGAGAATAACCATCAAACAAACTAGTAATGAGAAGGAGAGGTCGAGGCCATACTGGCTCAAGAGCTGAGGTTATTGCTAAGGTCAGCGGGACCCCGCTTTGGTATCAAGAGTTGCCAGCTTTCAGAAGTGTCAATGAGATTGTAGACACACAGGATTCACCGTATTTACATAGGTTAAAATCACCCGAGCTGTTTCCTGCTACTTCATATGTCAGAGGTGGAAGTCCTTAAAGAATTCTGACCTCAGAACTTTTAATGCCTAAGCCTGGTTTATTTTGATGTTGCATTTGAAACTGAAGCAGTACGTGTACATGAATCCATTATCTTGCAGTTAAACTCAAAACAAGGATTGAAGGAAGAGACTCTGACTATTGAAATTCAAGCATAACAGAAGGCAGGTTGACACATCCATTTAGGCCTGAAGAAACAACAAAGCCATGACTTCAAGGCCGAGTACCAACGAGTCCTTCCACTGAAATACAAGTGACAGAAACCAGCTCAAGTACTCACCGTAAACTGGTCAACCAGAGCGAAATCTTTGTCAAGAAACACCAGGGTCCGATCAAAAGACTTGAGTGCCTCACTGTCTATTAAATTCCTGGAGCAAAATGTCAACGGTACAGATCAAAATGTTGTTAGCTACCAAATTGTCTTTTTATAATGTGAAGGCATATTTGTGCTTGTACAAGTACTCACACAGAGGGAGATAGTGGTATGCATGAACTTTCGTTCCATTCATTTTCATTCAAAGCATGATCACGTGTAAAAAAAATATGCATAAGTGCGAAAAAAAGGGGAAGACTGTCATTCCCCAAAACATCACTGAACAACTCTGACATTCATGCTTCTTTTGTCAACACTGGGCATTTCCTGAACAAACAATGCCTTTTTTTTTTTTTAACAATCTATTCCCATTTCAATGAGGAAAATGCTTTTGTCCTGCTCATTCCAACTTCTTGCGACCCAGCTACTGGTATGCGCCAGGACATGCAGTGCACATGTACACCTACAGGTACGTAAAGCAAAGTAGCGGTACCGTGTGTCGCTTGCATGGTGTTCATTGATTGTTACTTGTCCTACTTGATTGAAACAACTGGGTCACTCCTACAGTACACTGCATCTAATGTGATAGAAATGCCAACTCATGGCAAATAACTTTTGATTAAAACCATAATTTTAAAACGTACTGCTAGTAACATGTACTTAGCAGGTCCTAACTTTCTTTCATATTACAAAACTGAAATTGAACTCATTTTTTTAAGAGGACTGCGCAAACAGGCTAATATAATGTTGTGCTAAAAAGATCGGTACACCGGACATGATTGTGCTTGGTTTAGCTGGAGTTTACAAATGCTTCTGCCATTTGTGCCTAAGCCAACCTACCCTAGGCCATAGACCATTCTATGTGATGTGTACTTTCCATTGTCATTGTAAATTTGCCTAAATCAATTAACATTTGCAGACAAGTAGACTGCATAAAAAATGGCAACAAAGGAACGTGTACAGTTCAAAAGAAAACAAATTCAAATTAACAACTGTCCCTGCATACATGCACTGCATCTCCAGCAATCATCCTGACAGGAACTCGGCACGAGGACCTGTAAGAACTATCGACAGATGTGGCAAGGCAATTTGACAGCAGAAGGAAACAAGAGCAGGTGGAATGGAAAAAAAAAATAGTCGGCAGACCCACTACGAAGAAATTCATTTGTGTACTCACGTAGAAGGGGTGAAGTGAATGATGAGCTTGCTATGAAATGTCCGATTTCAAGTGCTGGACGCTTCAGAATCAATTTTTCCTTTCAGTATTTTTTTTAACATACAACATTTGTTTGTCAATGGCTTCTGAGGAACAGGTTTTCTTAGTATGTGTGCACATGTAATGTACGTTTTATGTTAAAATGATTTTAGTGTGTGTCCATACACTCATACAGCAATTGTATGATGTACATGTAGGGATCAAATGATTAAGGTTTTAACTGCCGATCCAATGTCTGAAGTTTTAATCGGAACATCGGGCGATGTCCGATCCAATCCTATGTTTTTACCAACAATAACTACATGTAAAAACGCAACCTTAACAGGATGTACATGTACTGTAGGCCTGCTCATAACAACACAAAAGTGCCAAAACCAGCGCACTCCCTTAAAATTTAAAATGTCAGTTTACACATTACCGATTACAGAATTAGTTTTTTGCCTTACTGTCACTGAGTTGAGAGAATTGTGCACATCACATCGCCGCTCACACGATATCGGTCGTGCTCCGTTGTATTCAAACTCAACGCATGTAGTGCATACACGTCTACATGTACAGGTGTACATGTACATGTAGAATAGACACACAGTACCTCCGACTGAATCATGGTTAGCCTTTAGTCAAGCCGAGCATGGCACCGATGCACCATGCTCGGCTCACGGCTTTGCCACTGTTATATGCATATACATATACATTGTACATATACATGTGCATTAGTAGGCCACAAATAATTTTGACTTACTGTACAAAAGCGTCGACATTGCCCATGCACTGCTCAAAATCTTTGCCGCCGACCTCTTGCATATGAATTGCTATTAGCTGAGGTTTCCATGTCTGTACTGACTGAAAAATAGAAGGAAAAAAACAGTAAGGTACTGAATGATCACACTGACAGAAGTGCTTTCTCTGTCTCCTTGTGGATTTTTATGAGAATGGAGGTTTGACGTTACTGTACCCGTAATTTGCTGGAAAGGTAAAAAAAAAAGCAGTGATTGCAAGTTGAGGGGAAGATTTGGAAAGACCAAAAGTCAGACTGAAAACCTTTGTAAAAGCTCAAATACTAGACTGCTGAAAATATTTAAAAATCTTACTTGAACAGCGTCAGAGGATCTGTTGTACTCTCTTAGCCCAAAATGTCAGATATATGTAAATGTAAAAAAAAGAAGCCATTTGTACTTTTTCCAACGATCAGTGGAACAGAACGTCGTTGCAAAAAAAGTGAATCGTTTAACTCTAACTCCCTTGGGTGTATGTAAAATCAAATTGAAATCAGAGGATTTCAAAGAAGACATCAAATAAGACATCAAAGAGCAAAATATTACAGTACTTCAATTGAATTTGAAAGCATCAGGCCTAAAATAAGAAACTAATTTAAGAGAAATAGCCTCAGACGGAGATGAAGTCAATTATTGGAAAACAGTCCTACATCAGGCAGGTTTATTACAAAAGTATTAGTTCAGGGTTAACATAATTTCACCAGTACCTTGAAGCATCCATTACTTAGGATACCACAAAGTGTCCCATTTACCAGTTTTTGCATGAATGTACCAATAAATGCACAGTGGTTCTTGGCTAGATACACTTCAATGTGAGCGAGTCACGAAAATAAAATGACAGTCGCTGCGACATGCCTGTATTAATACTTGATGAATAGCATCAGAGCAGCCCTGGAATATTAGCATCCCCTAAAGACAGCACGAACTCGCCGATATGTCTCTAGGGCTTCAGAGGAATATCAAATCTGAATGGGGACGTGAAAACTACCGTACTCTGCTCGTGAATCCATGAATGCACGGTGACAGAGAAGGAAAAGTTAAGTTTAATGAAGTCACACAGGGAAAAGTAATATTCTTCTCTTTGGATGGGTATAACTTGTTTCAGCTAAAAATATTGAAATTAAATTTAAAGAGAATGGTCTTTGTGTCTGTCACCAGCATTTTAATGCAGGTTGAATACGCACTGAATGACTGACGTGAGGTTATAAAAAAAGACAGGCAAGAACACAGAGCAAGAAACAGCTTAATAAAGTGACAGCAACGGTGGATGAATGAACAGTTTACAATGTGGCTGACACTTCAAACCTTAACCTGGTATCTCTCACACCTGTGATCCATGTGTTTATACTGGTATCATAAAAATTTGTGACATAAAACAACAAACTGTGACATGCATGAATGTATGCGACTAATTTTTTCAAAACACCTGCCAAGCCACAACATATATTTTTAATATATACACGCAAGGGGAATTTTTTTAATAATTTTTTGACAAAACTATGGGTACATGTAACACAAGCTTTTGTGCAGTGTACATCTACAATGTACATGTATTTGTCGGGAGCAATCGGTCGATCTGCGCGGCTCTTCTTTCTAATTCACGGCTTTAAAAATACAGAAGTAAAGTCAGAGATTTGGTGCTCGATCAACTGATAGTGCAATGTATTCCTGTGATCATATTGATCGATTGATAACGCTAAACATATTTTTTCTTTCCTTCTGAAAGAACACCTTTGGCATCCTGATGGGCCCACGTACGAATACTTGGAGTATAAATCTTGTACCTGTATGCTTATCATTTGGTTACCCAGGATAAGTGCATCATGGCAGTATGCACATACTGTCCACAACATCCTGAACTATCGTGGATAAAGGTCAATGACAGTGACAAGGAAAGTGTGTCATCATTGTTCTTTTTAGGCGTACACATCACTGTGCACCAATCCTTGCTTGGAATTGTGTTCACGATTGAACTTTGCTTGACCGCCACTCAGATTTCAGAGAAACCATGACTCACAGATTCTGCGCACATGTACATGTACCTTGAGTTCACTGTCCAACAGTGAAAGGATAAGCAGCTGGTATTCAGAGAAAAACAGAAAAGGAATCCTAACAAACAAACTGTCAATAATCATTATTGTTGTGGTTATCCACACATGTAGTTGTACCCAACTGTCAGAACAAACTTCACCTAAAGCTACTAAAAAGGATTGTCACTTCCCGAGGAACATTTATGAGATTAAAATTAAGATATGGGTATACTGAACCTTACACGTACTGTACGCCAGCCGAGTTAAATTTAACTACACATGTACATGTACATGATTATCTGTTGTAGGAAATACACATACATGTACATTTTTACATGTACAACCTTTGCCAGATGGCAGTATTTTTTTCAGGGTAAAGAAATTTCCCTCATCATTCATCCTGACTTGTTCTATCATTGAACAGAAACAAGATAGTAAGAAATGTAATACTTTGCAATCCAGATCCTAGTAATCCAGGCAATCCTGTCTGGATGGAGCAGATGTTACTCCTTACTGTGTGTGCTGATCACTGCCAATCCATCTTCAAGACAACCCCCTCCAGTGAACCTGTACAAACAGGGCTTTGAATCCACATAAAGAGGGATTGAGGGGCATACACACGTGAATCCTCAGGAAGAACAGCACTTTCATCCCTTTCCCCAGGTTCCAGAGTTTGGACTTAAATATTAACACGACATCCTCTATCATTCATTTACAGTCCAAAAGCGTTGAAAAGGCATGTACATGTACATGTTTTCTTCACATTCATGGTCAAAATAATGACTAAATTAACAGTACCTTCATTTTCATTCAGCTACAGCGTATGTTAAATCAGGTTTTTGATTTACAAGAATGAACTAAAGACTACAAAGCCAAACCAGACTTCTGTCCAGTACAGTTCCAGTAAATGCAGAATACGACTCCTACAAATACTGTGGTTTCATAGACAACTAAACTTTAACTTGACGGAATCAGATAAAGGGATGGAACTAATATAGTTTGGAGGAGATGCACCATAAACAGTGATGGTTTCTCGCTCGTGTGCGCTTGATTCCTTAGCAACCAGGCTGATAGGCAATAACACGGAGATCCTCATATCTCCAAAACTTGCTATTCAGGCCTGTCATCAATCACCAGATCTTCGGTGTTTGCCTCCAAGCAAGAAGGAAACAAATCAGAGAGAGTAAAGGAGGACGTTAGAGAGGAAGGGTTTTGTCTGTCTATATATCTGGGTAAATCACAAAACTGATTATTTCATGGAATAGATTTGTGGGCACAGTCCTTAGAGTCACAGGCCACATGAGGGAAATGAAGTTTGATGCCACCGTAAAATTGACAAGTTAATGCCATTGTCCCAATGAGGTAAATGTACGACCACAATGTGCAAGGATTTAAAAAAAACAGTAACATGTATGGAAAACACATGCACTGCCAAAATATTGACCTAAGAAAAACACATTTTTTGGAAAGATACATGTACATTAAAGTGATGATTCCTGCATGTGTTATCAATTGACTTTGGATTTTGCTGGCCTGGTCAATATATAATTAAGTGATAACTGCAAATGTGCAGTGAATGTATACAGGGATGCAATCAATACTTTTTAATAACAAGAAACAATAATTTTAATTAATGCTGGTGTCTTACTGAAACTAATTTTCCATCATGCATTTCGTGAGTATGGAATTACATTCAGTGCAATCTTGTTGAAGTGCATATAGGGCACTGCAATGCAATGTTAGCGATGTGTATAAACTCGTTTTTTGCACATGCATGTGCTTGTTACTCGTACATTCAATTTTTTAATTATTCTCAATGGAAAGAAATATGTTTTAGCAGACCAGGCCAGAGTGGAGAGTGGACCAAATGCAACCAGACAATAACAAATTTCTAGATCTGTCTAGAATGCCTTGATCAGGGCAAGATGACTCTTGCCGAGGGCCCGTGGATGCATGATGAATGGCTATTGGGCACAGCTTATCAGCTACAAGAACCTGGCTAATGGCTCACATGTCCAAATGACACAATGGCCTACTCCCTGTATATGTCATCTATAATATTACTGCTTTCTTTGCTCCTCTTTCTATTCCATTTTTTCCACTTTACTTTCTGGATAGGATCATTCTCTCAGGATCCATTTTCTTTTTTTTCTTTCTTTTTTCCCTAGTCTGTCATACCAAGATGAAGAGAAATTTCAGACAGGGCACATTACTTACGCCCCTTATTGGCAATTACCAAAGATAAATGTGCCACTCCGGAAATACACTGGAATTTTTTTTCAGTAGGTAGAGACACACAGGCATTCCGGACAACCGAATGATTTCATTTCTTCTAGAAAGGCTCGATAAATATATCACTTCCTAGCACTCAATTTCTGACCCACTTTGTCTTCAGAAAAAGCATGTATCCGGTACATGTGTGATACATACATGTACATGTACATCCAATGAAGTACATTCCTAGAGTACATGTACAAGCTCAGGGAATAGACATGTACAAAACGTCCACAAAAAGTGTACCACTTTTTGTGTGTGTAAAAAGTTTTTATTTATTTGACAAGGATATATCACCGGAATTGATTTCAAACTATTACAATTTGTTTGGCAGGTATTTTGCATTAATTTATCACTCTTTAGAAAATTAGAAAATGTGTTCTGAACTTACAAAATCTCATGTCAGATGTGACAGGGACACACACACAAAAAATGGGCCCCTAATTTCTGGAAATACCCATATACTGACACTGGAAAATGCAACTGCAAAGTTAATTTACCTTTTAGAAATCAAGGGCAGGCTAAATGAAATTAACAAAGTGAAGTAAATCGGGTCAATTTGACACAAATGGAAAACAAGATTAGACAGCCTCAGTGCTCCAAAGAAAGTGAGTGATACAGGTCTCTGCAGGAAAGCCTTGTGACCAAGAGATGCCACATTTACTGTATGATGCAGAGAGCGAAGAGGTTACTGTAACTGACATTCTTTCAAGGCGAAAACCCAGGGTGCCCATGTAAATACACACAAGACAACAATTCTGAA